CTCTCTCTCTCTCTCTCTCTCTCTCTCTCTCTCTCTCTCTCTCTCTCTCTCTCTCTGCCTCTCTCTCTCTCTCTCCCCAGTCCTCCTGGGCCATGCTCAATAGCTCTACGGGCCTGAATGGTGTGATGCAGCGTGTTGACCGCATGAATGTGCAGCTGTTTTTACGGCGTAGTTGTCAGCAGTTTGGGGGAAAACAGAAGGTCATTTTAGCAGTGAGGCGGTGTCTTTGTAATTGTCCCTCCCACACCAAGGACAATGGAGCGAAGCTCGACTTGTTGAGCTGGGCTCGCCTGCAGTGACGCGCCTGTAAATATGTGTGAGCTCTTGCCTGCCAGCGTGGCTAGCTGCAGTCTGCGAGGCCCATGCATGGGTTGCTTTCCAAACACTCAGTGATACCCTGATTGCCATCTTCGCTGAACAGGCCGCATTTTGTTGATTGTGTCTAACAGGGCCCATAGGACGGCGTTCCCACAGTGAGACTCCGCCGCCAGTGCAAACCCAATCCCATTGATGCCTTCATATGGGAGGCTATCGGTACACCACACTTCCTTGGTGCAGTGCCCTGGTATTACGAGCCATCACCGCATTTGACACCTGGGTACTTTGTCAGCAAGCTGCGTGCGCAGCGCACTCAGCGGCTGCACGGAGGCGTTTGCTGTGTCGACCAGTCAGCCAGCCCTTCCATACTTGCCTGCCACGTGAGGGCTCAAAGCTGAGCATCCATGTTGAGGGCAGCGGCATTTGTGGCGGGATGCTCGTATCGCAGCTGTTGGGATGATGGGGTCGCGGCGTGGCAGGGGGTTTGCAGTGACGCGGCCGGCACAGTAAATACCATCATAACCATCAATTCAAGTGTGATTAAATCACTTGAGCAGTTCTACCAATCCGTATGTCCTGCGCAGTCTGGTGTAATTACTGTATTTGCGCATCGCATTTCTAGAGCAACAACCAATTTTATGTTTTGTAGGAAAAAACTGCACAGCATAATAATTTCTTGTGGTATCCTTGCCACCTGCATTACAAGCCAGCATATGCTGCATCACGCATGCACCTACCCGGCACATTAATGTGACAGCATTGTCTACATACGCGTGTGCAGTAAGGCTGTCTCTGTACAGAGGCAGTCTGCAATTGACGATTTGCAGCATGAGCCTAGCTACTCTTCACTCAAGGTGATAGCACCTCGGAGTAGCGCCCTGTATGAAATTGTGAAAGCCATCCTTTGCTCTTTTGACAGCGTCCTCAAGGTTGGTCTTGCCACACCTGATTTGAGGATTGATATGACAAAGCGGGGTTGACAAACCAACCTTGCTTGATCCTGCTCTCAGCCCGTCACGAAATAAGCCGGCTACCACCGTACTCAAGGAGAGCAGACGAATCTGTCTCAAGCACTGCAGCAACAACTACTGTGGGTTGGTGCAAGCGTGTGCGAGCAATAGCACGTTTTGTCAGCGACGCGCTGCTCAGTCTGCCCCACCACCTCACCGTATCACAAAGGGTTCAAAATACTGCATCTGCCGACCAGTCTGATCCACTTGCGAGATGTAGTCAGGGCCAACAATTACCGAACCATCATGGCCCTTGCGAACGACAATCCAGGCCTCAAAAATGCAGCCTGTCAACCAGTATTTTAATGATTGGTCGTGATCTTGGTAATTCATGAACAACATATCACCACGTCCTCACCTGCCTCAGCCACCTCCATCCTGAAGCATTTGACCTGCAAGAGCCTCTCTGTAGAGCTACCAGTATCGCACGCACTAGCATGGGAAGGTCTGATGGACGACATGTCGTCAGAACTGGCGCAACCAAATGCAGACTTTGTCAGGTGTGTTGTTGGGGGCAGCCCGTGCGTGTGCTGCAACGCAAACTGAATCATCAAGTTTGCCGGCACCACGACACACCAGCAAGAAACAGGAAAAGTGACGCGAAGCGAAACAACTTGTGTGATACGGTAAGATGCGGCCAGTGATGCGCGCAGCGACTTCATTATATGTAAATTTGGCATGACAATGCGAAATGAATGTCTTGCAACCCTACGACGATCTGGATGATCGCTAGCAGCTACGTGGAAATTGCCAGCATGCAGTCAATCTTGCACGCAAGCAGGGCGTGGTACGTACAGCTGTTGGCCGAAAGTGCAGATTTGAATTATGTTGGTATGCGTCCGCGGTGGGTGGGAGTCTGGCAGGATTAGCGCGAAGGCGAGGTCATCTGAGCAGCAGAGGGATCTGAGTTCAGGCCACAGCAGGGTGTAGCCAAGGGACAAAGACCATCATTGATTTGGTATCTTCGTGTGCACTATCCGAGTGTGTGCGACAGGCTGGGTGGCCCCAACGGTAAGCACAGTGAGCATGGCAGCTGCCGAGTGCAGGTGCCAAGGGTGCGGCAGTGCAGCAGCACGATTTGGAGCCTGTGTGCCCCGAAATCAACAAATCCAGTCAAACTACATCAGGTAATGCTGCTCCCCTACCTCAATAGACCAGATTCGCAGTGCAACCACGTGCATTTGCACGGCAACTGCTCCCAAACTTTTCCCGTACTAGTGTATTGAAGAAATTGACCTCAGCAGAACGAGTCGTGGGGTTACACGGTCGCGGGCCGGGTGCCGACACGGTGTGATTCCGGGTGTGTGGCTGGTGTTATGGGGCGCTGGGCGGGGCCCCGAGGACCGCAGCCGGAGGAAGCAAGTCAGCATGCTTGGGATGGCGTTTGAGTCGCAAAGCATGATCGCAAGTTATTTATGGATCACTATTGACGAGGCTGTTGTGCCTGGAAAGCCCAGCGCTGACCAATCAGCTACCAGTCCCGTGTGTCCATTACAGTAATATGATTGCACTGCGAATCATATCACCGTTCAATCCCTGTCGTGATTGGCCCCAATTGAATCACCGTGTGACCATCCTCTAAGAATTTTCAGCAATTTGTCGTGTTATATTGTGCCCTGCATCCAGCAGTGCCTGCATGATCGCATTTTCCAAACTGCGCGCCCCAGCTCGGACGCCAGGGTCCGGAGACCCAACGACGCCTCTCCGGCCCCGCCGGTCACGACGTCCAAGTGCATGCTGCGACAGCGCTCAACGACACTCACGCCCTCGGCCCGCTGCGTCTGATGGCTTAGCTCCCCCCCCCCCAATGTGTTGCCAGCACCAGGACCAGAACGGCACCCTCCGCTGGCGCTCCCAAAACGCGCCAGGTCAATCGAGCGCCAGAGTGAGCATTTGCACACAAGCATGGTAGGCGGCGCAAGGGGGCAGCAGAGAGCTGGCCTGCAGCACAGATCAGCAACACAGCCAACACCCTCTTCTGGGCACACCACAACGCAATTCGGGGCCCGTTCTTGATGCGTGATTCAGCACACCCGGCGCGCAGGGGAATCTCTCTGTTCCGGGACAGGGGGGAGGGATGTGAGGAATGCCAACAGGCACTGCGTCCCCCGTTTTTGACCCACGAGCACTCCCATCCCTAGGTTCATATCCTATTTATGATGATCACCGTCTTAATGTCCATAAAGCTGCCGAAGCGGGAGTTTGCAGTTGTACTGAAGTGTCACAGGACGACAGGTCCCAGACACCAGGGGTCCCTCCCGACCCGTACATACGGTAGACCACCCTGGTCCGCAAACGCTATGAGGCTGCAAGGCCACGTTATACTTATGAGTTCAAAACTTTCAAAATTGCCAGCCAATGTGATGGTTCATGGCAGCACGTCCATGCCCGCTGCGCACATGCGCCACACGACCTCAGCGCCCCCCGCCGCGAGCGCGCAATCCCAGTCCACCGCGCCGTCCACGGCAGAGAGCGCGCCCCCACCGGCCTTGCTGAGCTGGACGAACAGAAGCTCGTCGGGCCTGCCCCCCTGGTGCGCGGCCACCCGCGCCTGCGCCACTCGCAGGTCCCACGCCCCCCCGGCGACCCACTTGCCGTCGCGTGCGCGGCGCGCCGCGTACAGGCAGGGGCCTGTCGCGTGCGGAACGCCCGGATCCCCAAAGCCCTGAACCCGCACGAGGTCTTTGGCCGAGAGGGGGGGCGTCTTGAGCGGCAGTATGCCGTCCACCGAGAGGGCGTGCGCAACGCCCACCAAGATACTGCGCGCTGATTCCAAGTGGGCCTGCCTCGCGATCGAGTCGGGGTCCACGACGCCCCCGCCTGCCGCCCGCACACGCGCCGCCGCTGCCGGCGCGGCAGCGCTGGGCTGCGGCGCCGGCGTCGGCGCCTGCCCGGCGGCCGCGGCGGGGCGCGGGGCGCGCACGGGCCC